GTCATGACTTTTCCGACAACCCCATAATAGTAACATTTACCTTTGAATCACACACTTCTCTAAGGACTCTGCATGGAGGATAGAATTATTCGAGTGATCTTTATGGAACGCTATCAGGGTCACATATGGGTAGATGCTGTCGTCAGAGATGTTTCATTTACAAGAGGGACTGCATGAAGTAAAGCGATATGATGCTCATGGCAAAAGAAGTGGAAAGTGGAAAGCTCACTAGAACGTGCCGCCTCAGGTTGGTTGGTGTGCTGGACGGAGACGGGCTGGTGCTGAGCGCATTCTCAATGTCCTGATCAAGTTGGTCCAGTTTCATAATTAGCAGCACCATGGAGTCTAGACGCGCCCTGTTTCGGTCTTCTTTTATTTCCTGAGGAATAGAACATGTTGTTACTGAATGTGAAAGGCAAATTCTTAGAAAGAATAAAAAGTTCCCTGTTCTTCAATGTGACAAAAGGGACACTGAATGATAGGCAGTCTTCTAAGGGGGAAGGGAAGTTCTGCTCTGTATCATCAATGGGCTCTTCATTGGGAGGATACTGACCTCCTGCCAAGAAAGCATTTTACATGAATATTAGATATATGTCTTCTGGAGCAAAGCACAATGAAAAGGAAGTAGAACATCAGTGAGTACTGATACATATTTACGAATTTCCAATTAATTATTCTTGGGAAAAGTTATATATTATGCTTGTCACAGTACAAATCAGTTATAACATACTAATAATTAAATTAATTATGGTAAGACATTTAAAGATGCACATAAGAGCATAATTTTGGCAAGATATTTCTGACTATAGTTAAAAATGGGAAAAGGATCAAACAAGGCAGGTTTTTAGTTTCTGCAGTGGGCAAGATTTTTTTGTTGTTCTTTTGTTTTCTTTGTTTTTTGCATGGGGCTATTTTCCTACTGCTGATTCAAGCTATGTCATTATCAATATTCCTTTCAACCTTCCTTTTGTTTCAGGTGCTTTTGAAAAAAGCCCCCATAATCATATTAAATTTTGTGAATGAACATTGTTACTTATTCTAAATTCTCTATAATATAGACATATACTTATGGAAATACTGTTCCTTACAGGAATAGCTAAAGCTTCTCATTGGCCATATAAAGTTATTTGGACATGACTATTTACTATTCTTGTGTGTTCAGATCAAGTCAATTAGTATTAGGAATCTTCCAAATTCCCTGTGTCTTTTTCACAGTATCAGGGTTGGGTAGGGTATTGGGGGAAAAAACAAGACCATGGAAAGCACAAGTAAGGTTCTTTAGAAGCAAAATCTATTGAGGGATGTAAGGGACTCAGGGCCAACCCTTTCACGGAGAATCATTTGTGACTCATGTTGTCATCCTCTTATGTGTCTGAGATAGTCACCTGAGTGAAATTGACTTTGAAAGCACCACCAGTGGCAAACTCAAAGGGAAAATATATCATGACTGAAGGCGAAGGGGTCTGAGTATAAGGGAGCAGGTTGGGGCTTTGCTTAGGTCATGGTATTAGTAGTAGGATGAATGAAGTGACTGCCAGAATCAGATCTTTTACTTGGCATTTTTCTTTTAATCCTTCTACATTCCCAAGCCACCATTAGGTGGGAGCCTCAAAGAACAGGGACTAAGGTAATTCCATGGATTAATCTAATTCTGCAGGGGTTTCTATACCTCAAACAGCTATAGCAGATTGTTAATATTACAAAGCATTATCTTTCAGATGTCAAATAATTGATTTATTAGATTAAGTTAGTCAAGGAATTACTAAGCTAGGGCTGATAAATTATTTGGGTAAATTGAACTTGGCTTGGTTTAACTGTTTAGTGTCAAATTAAAAGAGCTAGTACTCTTTCATTAATTGTGAGAATAGATTAAGAACTTTGGGGGCTGTGTTAACTCCTTTAGAATACTATGCTGTGACTATTACTTCACTTGCTTTCCACCGTCTCTGCTTTCTAAAAGATGTAATGAGTCTCTGATAGAGAATTATAGAACTCTTGACATCATAAGATTTGTGCTTCAGAGGATCCAGGATATTTGCAAATAAACAGACCTGAACTTTAATCTACATCATATTCCTCAATGCCACAGAATCTTGTTTTATTCAAAAGAGCAATATTTATAGTAAAATCCTGCTTATACTTTAAATGAAGTCCCAAAAATATTAGTGATTTGTTTAATGCTCTTCTAGATAATCCAGAAAATGAAAAAATCTGACTGCACAGAAGACTCAAATTCCCCTTAATTATCTGCGTTTGCTTGTATAATTTCTTTCTGTTTTAAACCAAAGTTGAGTTTGGCAAGATAATGTTCTTTGCATCTCTAGCCACATATGTTTTTATGTTACTGTCTTTCACTTCTCAATTATAACATCCTCAAGTACCAATATTATGTTTTTCTACCAATCAAGTTAAACACTGCACATGCAATATATTTTCAGGAATAATAATAATGAAATCAACAGGAGCCAGTGAAATAACACTTCCCAAAGCCTTAGAAAATATGTCTTGATATTTTTCCAGCTACTAAGTTAATGTTGGATAAAGCAGTACATCCTACAGCTATCCTAGACCTATCAGCAGTGGTCTCAGAAACAATTTGTCTTTGAATTAACCGGATGCTGAGATTGTGCTTTAAAAACATTTTCAAATCCAC